TGGGGATGGTGATGATGGTGGGGATGATCATGATGACAATGATGACGGTTATGAATATGACGATGATGACGCTGAATGTGGGGAGGATTCGGTGGAAGAAGAGGGGGAAGTTGCGAAGCATGATGCTGAGGGAGGTCGGTAGGGAAGGACCGAGGGAGGGAGGACAAGGACGTGGAGGAAAATGAGGTGCAGTCCGTCGCAGACGGGGAGGCCAACCCAGACGCGCATGCGGATGAGGACGAGAGCGACTGGCCAACGCTGACGCAAGGGCGTTCCGGGCGGGCACTTGGGGCAGGCGCTCCCAGGAGCTGGTCCCAGCACCGTCTGTCCCATCCTCAGCCCCACTGAGCTACAGTCGGGGCGCTGCAGAAGGAACCCTTTTCGTTGGGGAGGGGCTCGGTGTTCCTTGACTGTTATGCAGTTGGCCTTCGGTTTTCCTGAGGTTGCCCACTGGAAATCGAAGTGTAACCTGTGGGCAAAAGGGGCCTCGTTCCTCATTTCTCGTTCCTTAGGTCAACGCCCCGACGGTACGGGATCTCAGCCCCACCAGCCCCCCCCTCCCCCAGGTGGGACGGGCCAGCGAAGCCTGAAGGGAACAGCACACATCCCCACTCAGGAGGGTCAGTCGGCCAGCGGGTGCCACGGCCGCGCCAGCGGGGATGGGAATGGACTGAGAGCGATGCTCAGTGGCGTTCCCTCCGGCTGGCAGCTCCTGCCGAACGGTCGCGGCCACCACAGCCCACAAGCTTGGCGCTGCGCGTGTAGCTTCTTCGACTTAGTTGTCGCCTCGCCCGTCGCTCTGTTGGTGTTTTCCCGCGTTTATGTTGACTTTTCCGCCTCGGCCTCTTGCATGCGCACTCTGGCAGTTCTGTGCCCCAGTTCTGCTGTTAATTAGTCTGTGGCGCGTACCCGCTTCGACTTGACACGCGCTTCCGCCCGCGGCCGTTGACGAAAAAAGTGTAGCTTCTTCGAGGCGGGGACTCATCCCAAACTGCCGCCCGGGGGATCGTTCTCTGGAGCATCGGCGAGCGGTGGATTTGAGTACACAGCCCCCCGCCATGGCGGATCGGGGTGGGGGACGGTGGGGCGGGCAGGTGGGTCGCGGGGGGGTTGCGGGGGGGACCGCGGCAACAACAACAACACCAACAAAAACATTTACCAACAGCAATCAGTTTAAGACTGCTCGCTCGTACTGACACGCGTGTTTTGTATTCTGCATGCCCCGGCCTTCGATACCCGCCCAATTCGTCTTCGATCGTACCCCCCCTTTTCGAGGGGAATCTCTTTTGTGTCGGCCACTGACTGAAGCGCGAGGAACTCTCGAGCGAGAGCGCCGTTTCTGAGTTCGGGGGCCTCTCTGGCCAGGCCAGGGGCTCTCGAACGGGAGCCCTTGTCGCCGTGTTTGTGCCTCCACCAACTTGTTTGAATTACCCGAGAATCTCGAGCGAGAGCGCAATTCTTGATTTCCAGGGCCTCTCTGGCAAGGGCATCTGCGAATACATCTTGAGGAAGTATCGAGCGAGAGCCCTTGTCGTCGTAGTTGGGCCTCCACCAATTTGATGGAATCACTTGAACGTCTCAAGCGAGAGCGCCGTTCCTGAGTTTGGGGGCCTTCTTGGCCAGGGGCTCTCGGAGTAAACCATGAGGATGTATCGAGCAGGAGCGCTTGTCGTCGTGGCTGGGCCTCCGCCAAAATGACTGAATTGCGAAGAAGTCTCGAGCGAGAGCGCCGCTCCTGAGTTCGGGGGCCTTCTTGGCTAGGGGTCTCGGAGTAAACCATGAGGATGTATCAAGCAGGAGCCCTTGTCGTCGTGGCTGGGCCTCCGCCAACATGATTGAATTGCGAAGAAGTCTCGAGCGAGAGCGCCGCTCCTGAGTTCGGGGGCCTCTCTGGTCAGGGTGTCTCGGGGTAAAGTGTGATTCTGTATCGAATGGGAACCGTTGTCGTCGTAGCCGGGCCTCCAAAGGGACACATTTACACTCAAGGCAACGGTCGCGCGGGAGCCTCGTTTTCAAAGAAAATGTAGCCGGCGTCGAGGCGAGAGCGCGCGGAACCGCTTCTGGAAATTAGCTATACTTATTCTCCAGAAGTGAGTATACAACATCAACAACAGTAACAGCAACAGCAACAACACAAACAACCATTTCAATGTTGTTCACTATTAACAGCTAGTGTGCCATTCAACACGTATATCCCAAATCCTCGATACCCCCCTTCTTAGTTTCGATCGTATCCCCTTGGGCCCTGGGGGGATATATTTCTTGCCTGCAACGTGTATTTCGTACAGCACCTAAGGCAGAGGAAGACAGGACGGCTGGAGGGGACAAGGGGGAGAGAGGAGGATGGAACACGAGAGAGAGTAGCAGATAGCGGGCTAGGAGCAGAAAACTCATGGCAGAACCAGCTGGGCAGATCGTGCGGGTAGACCCTAGCAGGCGGGCCCAGGCGGCCAGGTCGAGCAGGCGGGTTGCTGAAGCGTGCGTCCGGCATGAATCGCGAGGAAGCCTTGCCGTGAGGAAATCAAAGCCGAGAGCGTGATTCCAGAGTGTCGAAGGCGCCGCGCCTGAATCAATTGCGAAGAAGTTTTGAGCGACAGTTCAATACCTGAGTGTCGAAAGCGCGACACAGCGAGCCCCGGAAGGGCACTTCAATTGAAAATTGTCTATGTCACGCGAGTGCGTGAGTCCTGCATAATTCGCGAGGACGTCTCGGGCGAGAGCGCGAACCCTAAGTAAATTATGACGGAGTCCAAGGCGAGAGCGCGAATCCTGAATGGCGAGGGCTTGCCGCCTGAATAGATTGCTAGGATGTCACCGGCGAGAGCGCGACTTTTGGAAAAAATGCAAGGAAGTCCATATTCGGCGGGAACCGTTGTTGTTATATACCGAGGGCCAGGAGCACAGTTTGAGGAGGAAGGTTTTCGTTGGTTTAGAAAAAAATCAGGGTGCGAGCCCCGGGCGGGGCACTAAAATTGAAAACATAGATATGGTACCGGAGAGATGGGCTCAACAAAAAATATTCGTCAGCAGTGAGCGTTCAACTACAACAGCAACCTTTTTTTATAGACTGCTCACGTTTGTTGGCACGCGTGTGTTGCGTTCTGTATACCCCAACCATCGATACCCGCCCACTTCGTCTTCGATTGCACCCCCGTTCAGGGGGAATGTCTTCTTTGTCGGCCACTGAAGTGCGAGGCGCTCTCGAGCGAGAGCGCCGTTCCTGAGTTCGGGGGCCTCTCTGGCCAGGGGCTCTCGGAGTACATATGGAGAAGTATCGAAAGGGAATCCTTGTCGCCGTGCCGGGGCCTTCACCAACTTGCCTGAATTACAAGAAAATCTCAAGCGAGAGTGCCACTCTTGAGCTCGGGGGCCTCTCTGGCCAGGGCCTTTGGGAATACACCTTGAGAAAGTATCGGACGAGAGTTCGTGTCGTCGTAGTTGGGCCTCCACCAATGCGATTGAATCACTTGAAAATCTAAAGCGAGAGCGCCGTTCCTGAGTTCGGGGGCCTTCGTGGCCAGGGACTCTCGGAGTAAACCGTGAGGAAGTATCGAGCAGGAGCCCTCGTCATCGTGGCTGGGCCTCCGTGGACTTGATTGAGTTGTGAAGAAGTCTTGAGCGAGAGCGCCGCTCCTGAGTTCGGGGGCCTCTCTGGCCAGGGTGTCCCGGGATAAAGTGTGAGGAAGTATCGAGCGGGAGCCGCTGTCGTTGTAGCTGGGCATCCAAGGGGACTCATTTAGACTTAAGCCCGCGCTCGAGCGGGATCTTCGTTTTCAGAGTAAATGCAGCCGTCGTCGAGGCGAGGGCGCCGTCGTCGATCAACAGTAATCATTCTCTTGGAATGAGTGTTCAAAAACAACGACAGCAGCAGCAGCAGCAGCAACAATACCAACAACAACAACCAACAACCAACAACCAACAACAGCAACAAGACAGCGCAGCGCAACCACAACACTCCGCGCAAAGGAATCACACTTCAGCCTTCTCACCCGGGGCGATGAATGCCCCCTCACTCTGTCATTTCGGCCTCCCCGGGCTCGATCACATCCTTCAGGAGGGAAAAAACACACAGACACAATTAATCGACGATCCCCAGGAAAATATGGGAAAATATGGGAAGTGGGGGGGGGAAGACACAAACTTAGAAAATATGGGGAATATTTTTATTTGAGTGTATTTATTTGTGTGTCCCAGGGCCCCTTTACATCCACATCCACGGCCTGCCGGGGCCCTCGAAGATCGATCCTCCAGGCGGTGGTGACGGATGCGTCCGCGCACCGCCTCCTTGCGAGCCGTTCCCACCTCGAGGGCGAGACGCGCCCGTCTCGGCGGGCCCCCCGGCCCAGTTCGGGGATTCCCCAGAGGTGTTCCTGGCCCCGGGTGCCCCCGGTCGGGCGGGGTTAGGGGCAGGAGGAGGAGGAGGAGGAGGAGGAGGAGGAGGAGGAGGAGGGGGAGGAGGAGGGGGAGGAGGAGGAGGAGGGGGAGGAGGAGGAGGAGGAGGAGGAGGACGAGGATGAGTTCGCTTCAAAGCGTGCCGGAACGCTCGCGGAACGCTCTGCGGAGGCCGCGGCGCCCGGGACATGCTCCAGATCCGCCGGACCTCAGACGTTCTCGCTCTGTCCCCACCCGATGTTATCCTCGTCCTGGCGTCGTCTCAGTCCTTGGCCCAGGGGTGCCCCCAGGATTTCCAGGAAGGCCCCCATGGTTTTCAGTGCGCCCCTTATTGAGGCCCCAGAGGGCCTCGGGGCGGGGACCTCCCCGGGCACATGGACCGTCAAGCAGCGGCACAGCCCCAGCGTGAGTTCTGACGGTTCAGTTTCGGGTGGGTGCTTGCAGCGGGAAGTCGCGTCAAGCTTTTGACCGGGTCCCGCTCTTGTTCTGACGGGCGAGTGCGAGTCCTCCAGCCTCGAGTCTCACGGCTACACAGTCCTTTTCCTCCACAAAAGCGGTGCGACAAGCTGGGAGAAGGGCCAGGAACATTTTCGGCAACCCCCGACAAGTAGCCGTTGTGGCGCTCCCTGGGGCGATGCCGCTGTGGCCGTTCCAGAACGTGGTGTGCCACTCCGAGCCGTACGCCGCCAGCTTCATTGCCCCCCGCTGCTCGGCGGCGTATTCGGAGGGCTGTCGCCGCACCGCTGACGGAGAGCAGGGAGGAGGGACTTGGCATCGCTCGGACGTGTGCGTTTTTCTCCGGCGAGGACCATCGAGGAGCATCGTGGATCATATTGCGGAAAAAGCCCAGGCACGAAACCGACATGTGCACAGGAAATGGACGTCCGAGCGATGGCGAGGGGACGAGGGAAGGGAGGACGGCCTCCTCACGCGGCGGCGCCCGCAACAGGGTGTGGCGCGAGGTGGGTGGGCTTCTGGAAAGGCGGCGGGGACGTCTCAGATGCCCGCCCCTGCGTCTAAGAAGCCCCCCTCTGAAGCCTCCGTGGCCTCAAGAGTCCCCTGCCTCCTGAGAGGACAACCCGTCTTCCCAGAAGGCCGTGCCCCACTGCGCCACCCCCGTGTGAGCACCACCAAACTCCTGAACCCGCTCGTGCCACGCGTTGACATCCTGAGGTGCTGCCCCTCCCGCTGGTCGTCTCCTGCTGCGTTTCTCTGGGCCTCCCAGGTGAGGGCCGGAGCGGATGGGGTCGGAGGATCGTGCCGCGTCGCCGATGTATCGCCGATGCGGTTTGATGTGGGGCCCGCTTCTCTCCACGCCGACGTCGCCGATGCATCGCTGGCGTCGCCGACGCGTTGCTGATGCATCGCCGACGCATCGGCGACGCGGCGCGACCCTCCGTCCCCATCTGCTCGGACCCGATCTGGGAGGTCCCTACGAGCTTCAGGTCGGGCCTGTCCCCCTACAGCGGGATTTTCGACGAAAAATCAAAAAGGCCTCAACAATAATCAAACAATACTCCGAAAATAATCTGGGGACTATTTTTGTTAGTATTCTTTGACCTTTTGGGGATATTTTTGGGGTGTTGTTTATGTTCCGTCGAAAATCCCCCTGTCGGGGGACACAGCCGACATCATACCAGCTCCCCTGTGTCCGCCGAGTCGGAGCTTGACCTCCGGTGGCGTTCGTGGTGCTCGGCCCCTCGTCCGCCCCCCGCGTCTTTGGTGCAGAGGCTGCTGGGCCACGACGGGGCCAGGGAAGGGGCGGCAGGGCGGTCGGACGTCGGCCTCGATGGAGAGGCGACGAGCGCGCATGTGCCGATGCTGCCGAGGACTCGGGAGCTTCCGTGTGGCAGAGCTCGGGCGACGAAATCTATACATATCCACTGCTCCCTGACCATGCCCATCTTGAACCCAGGAGCTGTGTATGCGCCCTCCTGGCCAAGCCAGGAGGGCGTGGCGTATACACCGCTGCGGGGTTGAGGATGGGCCTGGCCTGGGAGCAGTGGATATGTATAGATTTCGTCGCCCTAAGAGCCAGACCCCCTCGACTCATCAGACAAAGGCGAATGACTCTGCCGCCCCTGTTTCCGGCCTTTCGGGGCCCTCACTGGGCCGCGGGACCGTCAAGCAAACGACTCAGGGTGAAAGCCGGTCTGGGGGAATGGGTCGAGACCTCTGCAAAACAGGGCTAGGATCGGGATAGATCGCTCCAGAGCGTTCCTGAACGCTCTCAGAGCGTTCCTGAACGCTCTCAGAGCGGCCGCGGCGCCCCATGCATCCTCCAAACCCGCCGACTCTCAGAGATTTCGAGTTCTCCCGATCCGAATTTGTCCCGATCTTCGCGTCGTTTTCCTCTGGGGGTCGAGGCTTTGACGATGCCATGCTGTCGGGGGGCGGGGGAGCAGGATCACCGCCCACCAAACCACCCCAACCCAACCCGAAGGCCCCAATTCGCCCTCCATTTCCAGTTGGGGGGGGGTCGGGGAACGCTGAGAAAACACACATGAAGCCCGTACCCCCCCCAACCCGAAACTCGGGTCTTCGGGTTGGGTTGGGGTGGTTTGGTAGGCAGCCACAGGAGCGGAAGTTTGGCAGTGCGAGGGGGAAGGCATCGGGAGGAGCACGGGGGGAGGCCGGCCCAGCCTTTCTCACGCGTCCTGTGGGCGCGGCAGCGAGGAGTTGGGTCGTAGGAGGAGGGGTCGTAGGAGGAGGGATGGTGGAGGAGGAGGAGGAGGAGGAGGAGCAGGAGGAGGAGGAGGAGGAGGGAGGATGAAGAGGAGGAGGAGGAGGAGGAGGAGGAGGAGGAGCAGGAGCAGGAAGGAGAAGGAGGAGGGAGGATGAAGAGGAGGAGGAGGACGAGGAGGAGGAGGAGGAGGAGCAGGAGCAGGAGCAGGAAGGAGAAGGAGGAGGGAGGATGAAGAGGAGGAGGAGGAGGAGGAGGAGGAGGAGGAGGAGGATCAGGAGGAGGAGGATCAGGAGGAGGATGAGGGAGGAGGTGAAAGGGCAAGTATCGTCGTCGAACTCGTCGTCCTCCTCGTCGGTTTCGTCCCAACACCCCCAGAGGACGACGCCGGCCAGGGCACCCCCGTGGCATGAAGCTTTGGACTCAAGAGGCGCGTGCGAGCAGCTTCTAGCAGTCCGGTTTGAAGATGCGCTTTACATTTCGATGAGGGACCACAACATGACAACACATATAGGAGGTCTGCGCAGATGTCTCGGATCGGCACTGGACCCCGCCCTCTCCCTGGCGTGCGGGTCGCACCAGTGGCGGCGCCTGAGGCGTCGCCGATGGCCAAAGTCTGCGCGGACCTTTGAAAGTTTGTATTAACGTGGGTGTGTCGGCCCTCCCTCCTGTCGGCCCTCCCTCCTGTCCTCGACCTTGTCACTTGCGCCCCTTCTGGCACGTTCACACTGACCAGTGGGGGCGGGCGGACTGCCTGTACCTGTTTGCCCTCGTGGCGCTCATTGCACTGCCACTGTACGCGACGTTCTCGTCGAACAACGTCTGGGTAAGGGAGAGCTCGTACATCGAGCAGCCGGCTGTGTCGTTCAGGTCCGCCATGCTCTCCGGAGCTCGATCTGAACAGTGTTCGTCGTTCTCGGTTTGCTTTCGCTTGCCCTCGTTTTCGCTTCGCCTCGCCGCTGCAGGAGACGAGATCGGAACGGAAACGGCACTACATCGCCCAAACCCAACTCAAACCGAGCCCTGGTTCTCTCCGCGCACGGGTCGTTGGTCGTTGTCTCGTCGAAGCTGCCCGCGGCGAGTCCTCGCCGCCCCCCTGCCGTTCTGGAAGCGTCTGCGCGGTGAAAGGTCGCACGGCATGCGGCCACGCTGGTGGGATTGCGTGTGCCCCATCCGCTGGAGACACCACTGGAGGAACACTGCGGAGGGGCTCTCTGGGGTCAGCTTCAGCCAGCTTGGTGCCGCTTGAGAGCAATTGTGACCCAATGGGGGATGACGATTGATGAATGACCGGGGGTCGTGTTCCCGCGGCGGCGCCCGGGATGACGATTAGAAAAAACCGGCCGCGGGCTGGACAACTATTTTTTTAAACCGTTCTCCTCCAGTCAGAAAATTATGCAGAACTCGCAGAAAACTATTTTTTAATCGTTCTCCCCCATTTTTTATTAATCGTCATCCCGCATTACTTGGGGGCCTCTTGTGACTTTCTTAGGCCGTCGTAGGGTGCTCTCGTGGCGTCGGCGCACTCGGGGACCGTCTTGTGGGGACCCCTTGGGCACTCGAGGGCCGTTTTGGAACCCGCTTGGGTCATTTTGCAGTTCCCTTCGGACTTGCAAGGATTGACTTGGGCCGTCTTGAGGCCCTCTCGGATGTATCTTCGGCCGCCTTGGATCCGTCCTGGGCTGTCGGAGTCCCGAAAAACGCGAGAACGCGAAAACTATGGGAAACGCTAATGGCATCGTGGTGGCCTCCTGGAGCCCATCTGGAAGGACATTTGGGCCGTCTAAGGGGCCTCCTGGGCCATCTTCAGGCCGTTTGGGGTCCATCTGAGGTCGTGCTGGGCGAAGGCATTGTGGGGCCACTTTGGGCTCTCTGGGGGCCAGCTTGGCCGTCTTGGAGACATCTTGGGACCATCTTAGAGACCATCTTGGCTTCGATGCGAGATTTCTTGATTGCGCGGTTCTTACGCCTGGCCGGCGGGACTGGCGCGCACTGGTTTCTTCATGGAAGGGCCAATGAGCATTCAAAATCCAGAATGCCAAGCTCGGGTTTTGTCAGGGCCCTGGTTATCAGGAGAGCGGGATAGTAATACAGCCCCGAAGCCAAGAAAGATGCCGGAATCATCAAATTTGGTCTGCCACAGCTTGTGTTTTTCGGGGGACAGAGTTCGTGTTAGTGGAATGGGGCCTGGGAGGCGCCCCCAGACCAGGTCTCGCTAAACCCAGTCCTGCTGATGCCCGACAAGCACCTCTCTGGTAGGCCACGGAGGCCCGGGGATCGAAGACGCCTACGTCAAATCACCGCCGCCTCCTGCCTTCCTTTCTGGAAGCGCCTGCGTGGCCGAGAGTTGGGTTTGAGCTTGGCCGAGCTATCGGGCCACGCGCCCCCCGAGTGGGTTTCGAAAGCCTTTGGGGAACACGGAGTCGGGCGAGCTATCGGACCAGGTGGTTTCCGAGCTTTCGGGCCTTCCTGGAGGACGTCTTGGAGGGGTCTTGGGCCGTCTTGGAGGCCTCTTGCGGGCCTTTTGGGCCGTCTTAGACCGTCTTGAGGCCATCTGGGGCCGTCTTGGGTGCATCTTGGGACCATCTTAGCCGTCTTGGAGGCCATCTTGGCCGTCTTGGAGGCATCTCGGAGGCCATCTTGGGCCATCAGGGCGGTTTTGAAAGCCATCTCGAGCCGTCGTGGCAGAGTTGTTTGGAGAATTACGCGCCCTTCGGGTGGCCGGCGGGGTGGGCCGAAGCCCCAGGGGGAGTTCTTTCAGAACAAGAGCCAAAACCAAAACCCAAATGATCTAGCACAACAGGCACACAGAAACACATCCCTAAAATCCATCAAACACGTAAGGAACACCAATGATTTTGGCCTGTTCGGGCTCTCCTGGAGGGCGTCTTGGAGGCCTCTTAGACCATCGTGGAGGTATCTTGGGTCCATCTTGGCCGTCTTGGAGGGCATCTTGGGCCCTCTTGGAGCCATCTTATCCGTCTTGGAGGCCATCTTGGGCAATCTTGGCCGTCTTGGAGGCGACAGGGGGAACCACCCAGGCATCTGGGGAACCTTCCGGGACCCCGGGCTGGACGGGCCGACGCCCCAGGGGGAGTTTTGTTAAAGAGCCGGAATCGAAAGGGTCCAGCACGCCAGGGTATCACTGTGGCAAGCCAACAGGGGGCGGCGGATCGACGACGCCTACGGCGAATCACCGCCGCCCCCTGTCTTCTTGGAAGCGCCTGCGTGGCCGAGAGTTGGATTTGAGCTTGGCCGAGCTATCGGGCCACGCGTTCCCCGAGTAGGTTTCAGAAGCCTTCGGGGAAGCGAGCTATCGGACCAGGTGGTTTCCGAGCTTTCGGGCTTCCTGGAGGACGTCTTGGAGGGGTCTTGGGCCGTCTTGGAGGCCTCTTGCGGGCCTTTTGGGCATTCTAAGGCCATCTTGAGGCAGTCTGGGGCCGTCTTGGGTTCATCTTGGGGCCATCTTCGCTGTCTTGGAGGCGTTCTTGGCCGTCTTGGAGGCATCTTGGAGGCCATCTTAGCCGTCTTGGAGGCCACCTTCGGCGTCTTCGGGGCCTTCTTGGGCCATCTTGGGGGCCTCTTGGGCTGTCATGGCGCCATCTTGGAGGCCTCTTGGGCGCTCTTGGGTGGATGTTGGGGGCCTCTTGGGCTGTCTTGGGCCGTCGGAGAGCTGATAAGAAGAAAATGCCAACATCCTTCAAAAACCTAAGGAGCATCAATGCCTGTTGCATTTTCGCGCCTTCCTGGAGGACGTCTTGGAGGCCTCCTGGGGCCTCTTGGCCAGTCGTAGGCCATCTTGGAGCCATATTAGGCCGTCTTCGAGGCTTCTTGGACGAACCTGAAGGCATCTTGGACTCTCTCGGGCCGTCTTGGAAGCTATCTTGGACCATCTTTGGCGACTTCGACGCCATCTTGGGCCATCTTAGAGGCCATCTCGGGCCAACGTGACCATCTTAGCGGCATCTTGAGCCGTCTTGGAGAATAGTTCGCGGTCGTTGAGGTGGTTGCGGGGCCTTTCCGGGACCCCAGCGGGATCGGCCGAAGCCCCAGGGGGAGTTCTTTTGGATGCCTTTTGCGGGCCTTTGGGCCGTCTTAGTCCATCTTGAGGCCATCTTGGGCCGTCTTGGGTGCATCTTGGGGCCATCTTAGCCGTCTTGGACGCGATCTTGGCCGTCTTGGAGGCATCTTGGCAGCCATCTTGACTGTCTTTGAGGCCATCTTGGGCCTCTTGGGGGCCATCTTGGGCCTTCTTGGGCCCCTCTTGGGGACCTCTTAGGCTGTCATGGGACAATGTTGGAGGCCACTTGGGCGCTATTGGGGCGGTGTTGGGGGCCTCCTGGGCTGTCTTGGGCCGTCGGAGAGCTGAAAAGAAGACAAATCGAAAACTTTTCAAACATCCAAGGGGAATCATTGGTTTTGACCCTTTCGGGCCTTCCTGGAGGACGTCTTGGAGGGCTCTTGGGCCGTCTTGGAGGCGTCAGACGGGCCTTTTGGGCCGTCTTAGGCCATCTGGGGCCGTCTTGGGTGCCTCTTGGGGCAATATTAGTCGTCTTGGACGCCATCTTGGCCGTCTTGGAGGCATGTTGGAGGCCATCTTGGCCGTCTTGGAGGCCACCTTGGGCGTCTTCGGGACCTCTTGGGCCGTCTTGTGGCCTTCTTGGGGCCCTCTTGGGGGCCTCTTGGGCTGTCATGAGGCCATCTTAGAGGCCTATTGGGCGCTCTTGGGGCAAGGCTGGGGACCTCTTGGGCTGTCTTGGGCCGTCGGAGAGCTGAAGAGAAGAAAACGCCAACATCTTCCAAACACCTAGGAAAATCATGGAATTTGACCCTTTGGAACATTCTTGGAGGAGTTCTTGGAGGCATCTTGGGGACCTCTTGGGCAGTCTTCAGGCCATCTCAGAGTCATCTTGGGCCGTCTTGGAGACTTCTTGGACGAAATTGAAGGCATCTAGGACTCTCGGGCCGTTTTGGAGGACAACTTGGATCATCTTGGGCCATCTTGTAGGCCATCTTGGGCCAACGTGACCATCTTAGAGGCCATCTTGAGCCGTCTTGGAGAATTGTTTGTGGACGTTGGGGTGGTTTGCTGTGGTTTCCGGACCTTTCGGGTGGCCGGCGGGACGGGCCGAAGCCCCAGGGGGATTTTTGTTGGGAAAAAGAGCTATACAACCAAAAGCGAAAAGATTCAGCACGCGGGGCACCCCTGTGGCAAGCCAACAGAGGGTGGCGGATCGAAGACGCCTACGGCGAATTACCGCCCTCCCCTGCCTTTTTGGAAGCGCCTGCGTGGCCGAAAGTTGGGTTTGAGCTTGGCCAAGCTATCGGGCCACGCGTTCCCCGAGTAGGTTTCGAAAGCCTTCGGGGAACACGGAGTCGGGCGAGCTATCGGACCAGGTGGTTTCCGAGCTTTCGGGCCTTCCTGGAGGACGTCTTGGAGGGCTCTTGTGCCTTCTTGGAGGCCTCTTGCGGACCTTTAGGGCCGTCTTAGTCCAAGTTGAGGCCATCTCGGGCCGTCTTGAGTGCATCTTTGGGCAATCTTCGCTGTCTTGGCGGCCATCTTGGCCGTCTTGGAGGCTATCTTGGCCGTCTTGGAGGCTATCTTGGCCGTCTTGGGGGGCTCTTGGGCCGTCTTGGGGCCCTCTTGGGGCCGTCTTGGGGGCCTCTTGGGCTGTCATGGCGCCATCTTGGAGGCCTCCTGGGCGCTTTTGGGTCGATGTTGGGGGCCGCTTGGGCTGTCTTGGGCAGTTGGAGCGCTGATAAGGAAACAATGCCACAATCCTTCAAAAACCAATGGGAAATGAAGGATTTTGGCCCTTTCGGGCCTTCCTCGAGGACGTCTTGGAGGGCTCTTGGGCCTTCTTGGAGGCCTCTTGCAGACCTTTAGGGCCGTCTTAGCTCATCTTGAGGCCATCTCGCGCCGTCTTGAGTGCATCTTTGGGCCATTTTAGCCGTCTTGACGGCCATCTTGGGCGTCTTGGAGGCATCTTGGAGGCCATCTTGGCCGTCATGGAGGCTATCTTGGGTGCCTTGAGGGCCTCTTGGGCCGTCTTGGGGCCTTCTTGGGGCCGTCTTGGGGCCTCTTGGGCTGTCATGGGGCCATCTTGGAGGCCTCTTGGGCGCTCTAGGGTCGATGTTGGGGGCCGCTTGGGCCGTCTCGGGCCGTCGGAGAGCTGAAAAGGAGCAACAGCCAAAACGCTTCGACAACCATATCAATGATTTGACCCTGTCGGGCCTTCCTGGGGGGCGGCGGGCCTTTTGGGCAGTCTTAGGCCATCTTGAGGCCGTTTTGGGTGCATCTTGGGGTCATCTTGGCCGTCTTGGACGCCATCTTGGCCGTCTTGGAGGCATCTTGAAGGCCATCTTGGCAGTCGTGCAGGCCATCTGGGCCTCTTGGGGGCCGTCTTGGGCCGTCTTGGGGCCTTCGTGGGGCCGTCTTGGGGGCCTCTTGGGCCGTCCTGGGGCCGTCTTGAAGGCTTCTTGGATATTCTTGGGGCGATCTTGGTTGCCGTTTGGGCAGTCTTGGGCCGTCGGAAGGCCAAAAATGAGCAAAAGCCCAAACCCTTCAAAACCCTTCTGGAAATTAATGATTTTGACCTCTTCGGGCCGTCCTGGAGGAGCTCTTGGAGGCCTCTTGGGGACCTCTTGGGCAGTTTTAGGCCATCTTAGAGTCATCTTGGGCCGTCTTGGAGGCGTCTTGGACGAGCTTTAAGGCGTGTTGGACGAGACATCTTGTAGGCCATCTTGGGCCAACGTGACCATCTTAGAGGCCATCTTGACGCGTCTTGGATTTTTATTTGTTGACGTTGCGGTGGTTTGCGGTGGTGTCTAGACCTTCGGGGACCCCGGCGGGACGGGCCGAAGCCCCACGGAGTTAAAAGAACCACAAGCGAAAGGATTCAGCACGCCGGGCACCCCTGTGGCAAGCCAACAGGGGGCGTCGCATTTGGTGGCCTTCGGCCCGTCCCGCCTCAGTGCCTGCGCTGTGTGCGAGAGTCTTGGCTGCCTCTCGAAGTCTCTTGGGATGCCTCCTGAGTGCCTCTCGGGCGCCTCTGGGGCGCCCATCGGGTTCTTCTGAGGGCCTCAAGCCCAATCCTTGGCTCGAGCCCAAGGAGACTTCGCGGCTCAAGCCCAATCCTTGGGCGCCCCTCAAGGAGACTTCGTGGCTCAAGCCCAGACCTCGGCCCGAGGCCGACCACGTCTCACACATCTCATACCCCACACCTCCTCACAGACCCGCACCCTCCAATCTGCCATCCCCTGGCCTGCTGCGCCACGGCGGTGGCGGCACCCGCCTGCTGCCTCGACGGTCTCCGCACGGACGAGAGCTCCGAGCCCGCCGTCTGCGCCGCGCTGCTGGCGAACACCGCCATGCTGCCCGCGCTGGAGCCAAACGACCCCCAGACGAACCACGAGATGACCGACCAGACCGCGAGGTACGGTGATCCCACGTGCGTGGAGGAGACCGTCGACGTGACGCAGGTGTCCATCAGGTACGAGCTCGACCACGAGGAGCCCCACGACGACGAGGACGACTACGAAGAGAGGCGCGAGGAGGACCCGAACGAGCCCCCGGAGGTGCTCCAACAGGAGAGGAAGCGGGAGGGGGACTCCCATACGGTCCAGGACAAGGCCCACAATGAGGGAGAGGAGATTTGTGATCCTTTGCGCCAGGCACCTGCACAGGACCCCTCCCGACCCCAGGGAAGGATAACGTCGTGCGCAGGGGATCCAATGGGCCGACTTGAAGGAGACATGTGCGCAAACCGTATGATGCGCTACGCATTGCCGCCTGGTGGTGAAGTGGCATGCCTGGCGCGCCTACCACGCGCCAACTACCTTGGAGGAGCTTGCCAAACATGCTACCGAATGCGATGTCAGCATGACCACTGCCAGGAGAGAGATCGCGGGGCGTGGCATTGGGGCCTTTGACGGAAAAGGCCGAACGGCCGTTCCGAAAGGGCACGCGTAATTAGTTTGCTCGACGTTTGCTCGCCCAGTGCGGTTTCTGCCCAGAGATGCGGATCCGCCGCGAAGCATCTAGATGGCGGCTCGCGGGGCTGCCTGGACCAACGGCGAGGCGCGCCCATGCAAATCTGCAGCGGCTCAAAAGCCTCGCCCCGCCGCGAATACGGGCGGCAGTGCTGGGCGCGCTGTTCGATCGATGGACTACCGACCGACACGTGACAGCCCTTCGCGCATTTAACGGAGGTTGCCGGATGGGGTGCCCGCGGGGTGCCCAGGACTCCCTCGAACACAGCGTCTGCTGCGATGTCATCCGACAGTGGGCCGAGCGGAGTTTGGCAGGCACACCGCCGCAGCGCGCGAAGGAGCAGTGGATGCTTGCGGCCACGATGACCGACGAACAACTCGGGAGAGCTGCCATCGTAGTATACGTAGCATATCGCACCACTCAACACATACGCCACGCCGCTCGTACGACATCCTATTAGATTCGCCACTACATGAACCAGATGCTGCACGAGGCGATCCGGGACTCAAGCAATTTGCGGGCGGACGCAGGTGGGGCGTCGATGCCACGACGGCGCAGACACCGGGCCGCGTTTGCAGGGGACGCTCGGCGATGGGCCTCGACGGCGTGAACGACTTCTTCGTCGCCCCCCTGTTCCTTGTCTTCACCCTCGCCCAGTGTTGAGTCCTACATTGTTTTCGATGCTCACGGGGGGTGCCTGCTTAATTTGATGTTTGATACAATTTCGCAGATGTGCTTCCCGTTTCTTGTCAAATCAGTTCATTTTGTTATCTCAGACGTTCCCATCGCCGTGGAATTGCCATCACGCCGTCGCCAGCAGCACCATACACCGCCGCGCTAACGCAGCCAGGACGATTTGCAGCAGCACGAGTGCATCCACCAGCACCAGCTTGAGTTCGGACAACCTTCGCACCAAAGAGGCCGATTCGGGCGCCAAGCAGATCGCCGACACCTGGGCCGACCAGCTCGCCGACTCCTGCTTCGTTCAGCGTGCCGACTCCCGTTCCGACCAGCTCACCGACTCCCGCGCCAGCCAGCTCTTCCGTCTCCCGCGACAACCAGCTCGCCGCCTGCGGTGGTTTCGTTTGCGATGCTTCTGCGAACCTTGGGTGCGACACATGATGTCAGTATTCGGCCAGCATCAACGCCGGCGTCGACGCCAGCTTCCGACGTCAGCATCGACACCGACATCGACACCAGCACCGGCAACAACACCGACGCCGCCAGGACCAGCATCGGCAGACGCAAATTCTACAGGGCTTCTCGGGCAGCATCGACAGACGCGAACAGCTTGGCACACGCATTGGACGGGTGTCAACAGACGCGAACTCTACAGTGCTTCGTCGCACCGACAACAGCTCCAGTATCGACAGACGCGGACTCTAGAATGCTTCTCGGGCAGGGCGCCGCCGCCACGACCAGAAACAACCACCGCGACCGCGAACATTCGTTCCGACAGAGTGTACCAGGTCAGTCTTCCCAACTTGTGAAACCAGCGCTCGGCCCGAATAAGGCACCATTGGGATTCCTAACTTTCCTGTCCGCTTAAGCGCTTTCGGGCAGACGCGAACTCTACAGTGCTTCTCGGGCACGGCGCTGCGACCGCAGTATGTTTGCGGCAACATGGGACATCCACAGTGCCTTCTGCGAGGACTATAAACTGCTGCCTTGGTGCTATCCCACTACATGGGATAACGTCCGCCGATGTATTCCAGCACGACGAGTTGCAGCACAATGAATTGTTCGCCCACTGGCGAATCTGCCGAAACCAACGGTGATGCTTAAGCCAGCGCTGTTACCATACGCCAGAGCCGACGCCAGTCCAGACGCCATCTTCAACACCTGCATCTCCGCCTGCACCATCGACAGCGCCTACGTCAACGCCGACGTTGGCACCGGCGCCAGCAACCACGCTGACGCCTACTCGGGCACCGACGCCAGCGCCCTCACCAGCACCGACGCCATTCCCGACGCCGGCATGAATGCTGGCGTCTACGACAGTGCATCCTCCAACCTCGACGCCATCATCGACGCGGGCACATGCGCTGGCACCAGCGCCAGCGCATGCACCAGCGCCGACGCCAGCACCAGCGCCAGCACCAGCGCGGCGCCTATGCCGGCACCGGCGCTAGGAGAGTGGCCGATTCCAGCATCGAGGGCGCCGCGGCCTCTCCGGACGACCTGCAGATCCAACGTCGGACAGAAACTATAGCCACACCCTGTTGGCGCTATGCTGCGATCGTCGGCCTGAGCTGGGACAGACGCCGGGCCGATCGCACGACGTGGGGCAGAGCGCCGTGTGGCAGCACCCCTGGCAATGCGACGTGAGGCGCTGCGCGGGGGCGGACGCACGTCAGAGCCCCGAATCATCAGGGGTAATTCGGGTCAGGGACAACTCGGGTTCGTTTTTCGGGAATCCAAACCCGAGTTACCCCGGACCCGAGTTACCCCGGATATTTCGGGCGTCCAGAGCCCCGAATCATCAGGGATAACTCGGGTCAGGGATAACTCGGGTTCGTTTTTCGGGAACCCAAACCCGAGTTACCCCGGACCCGAGTTACCCCGGATAACTCGGGCGTCCAAGCACGGCAGTTGACATCAGCACGGTGGAAGCGCGACGGGTCCAGCAATACGACACCACCCCACTCTACCTCCAACGCTTCCAGCCCTCCTGCCGACCCGCAGCGTGCTGCCAGCCGCCAGCCCACACCAGCTCAATCGACCCATTGCCGACCCACAGCCGCAGCCACCAACCCACGCAGCACACTCGAACCACAACTGTCGGGGGGTGGACAGACCTCCTGCCCTGACGTCTCGATTGGGGAATTGGCCGTTTTCGGTTCGCGAGAGAGGGTCGCGGCCGCCGTTTTTGCGGGTCCAGGTCCGTCGGTTTCGGTCCCAGGCCGTTTTCACTAAGGCGGGGGTTTACTAAAGGGAGGCTTGTTCATTGCCGAACCTGGCCCTACACCGATCCCAGCCCAGTCGCAGCGAGGCAATGGTCTCCGCCTGCGCAGGTGTCACGGTTTCCGTCGCGTCGGCAAGACGACGGGTGCGTCCGCGCCAGACGCGATGAGCGCCGCGCTGCTACAGCCGACTCCAGCGCCAGGTGCCTCCTTGCCGACGCCGGCTGTATTCCGACTCCCGTCTCAGTCTTCGACGCCTGACGCAAAATCCGAGAGCCCCCCCCGACGCGCGCTTCGCGTCGTCCACACCCCGACTTGCTACCGCCACCCCGCTTCCTGCTCAGACTACATCTCCTGCTCCGGGGCATGGGAGGAATTCTCACCACCCACCAAACCACCCCAACCCAACCCGAAGGCTCAGATTTGCCCTCCATTTCCAGTGTGGGGGGGGTCGGGGAACATCGAGAAAACACATATGAAGCCCGTACCCCCCCAACCCGAAATTCGGGTCTTCGGGTTGGGTTGGGGTGGTCTGGTAGGTGGTCAGATTCTTTGTGCAACTCTTGCTCCTGATCCGTCTAGCTCCGGTCCGTTTCCCGACTCCAGCTCCGACTCCAGCTCCATTTTTCCCCTTCCGGCGCCGGCTTCCGACACCAGCCCCGATTATTCCAGCGCTCGTTCTGGCGCCCGCTCCAGCTCATCTCCCGACGACTGCTCTGCGACTCCATCGTCGGCGACGCCTGGTTTCAGGAGCGAAAGAAGGACGTACATGTACATGAATCCACGCTAGTTTCGAGAGTACGCATTGCGCAAATGTTCGTATAACGCGGCCAGTCTCGCGGATCGAGGGGCCGTGTTCATGTACATAGCTGGGCGCGTACGTCCTTTGTGGGCTCCCTATGGTTGAGCTATGACCCTTGAGTTGGCCTCACTTCCGACCTGGCCCGAGCTCCGACTCCCACATGACGTTGACGAAGTTGATCTTGATGAGGGAGGCGTTCACGAATTCGGTCCGACGAGCGCGACGGCACCAACGTCGACGCTTACGCCAGCACCAACGTCTGCACCGACGCCGGCACGGACGCCGTGCGGACGTCAGGTACTACGACACCTTGGCGAGCGTGATGGTCTTTGGGGATGCGGTTGCAACTTCCTGGAGGAAACGGTGTGTTGGCAATTTCGCGGGCCGTTTTCGTTTTGACTTCGTTTTGCAGCAAGTGTGGAACGAAGACAGAACTAGGGATGACGAAAACACAACGAAAACGGAAAACACTGTTTAACTCGAGCCCTGGTCTTGGCCCCGACCACCACATTGGCTCGCTTTCGACGCCTGCTCCATTGATTGCGCCATCTCGGACTCGGGCTCCGTACCTCCGGCTCCAGTCCATCCTGCTCGATGACGTCTCCGTGCGGTTCCCTGCCTCGCTCGATGTCCCACGGCCCCCCTAATTACATAGGACTGTGCTCTCCGTGCGTTTCTCCACCCCTCCTCTCGGGCCGAACGAAGGGGGGGGGGATAGGGAAAGGGAGGGGGACGAAATCTGCTGCATGCAGCTGGTTTCGGCCCCGCCGCCGGGCCCATTCCTCGATACATTCGGCGCCTCCCGGCGCCGGGAGGCGCCCAGAGCATCAGCTACGTCAGCTGATTTTCACCCCCCCCCCTCTGCTATCCCCCCACTTCGCCCGGCCCGAGTCTACTCGAAGCGTTGATTCGACTGCCAGGTCCTCTGGCCTGCGCGCCTCTGCCTTCGCTGTCCGTCGTTCCTCCTCCTGCTTCGCCCGCGCTCCTCCTCTCCTGTTCTCGGCTCGTGTGGGGCAACTAATGGAGGATGACGATTAATACATGACCGGGGGTCGTGTTCACGCGGCGGCGCCGGGGATGACGATTAGAAACAACCGGCCGCGGGCTGGATTTTTTGTCAGAAAATGAGTCGTTCTCTTCCAGTCAGAAACTTGGCTGCAGAAGTCGCAGGAAACTATGTTTTTTCCATCGTTCCCTCCCATTTTTTTATGTACTCGTCATCCCGCATTACCAGTGTGCGCGCCCCGGTTGGCTTCGCACCCACGGGCGCTCGCTCCGTGCAGCTGCTGTGCGCCTGGGCAGGTTCGGCCCCTGCTGCGGGCGGGCTCGCCCCGTCCGCTCTCCTCTGCTGCTTCTCCTCCTCCCGTTCCGCTTCTGTCTAGACCTCCCAGACGGGGTCGGGGCAGATGGGGTCGGAGGATCGCGCCGCATCGCCGATGCATCGCCGATGCGCCTCGATGCGGAGCCCGATGTTCTTCACGCCGACGTCGCCGATGCATCGCCGATGCATCGCCGATGTATCGGCGATGCGGCGCGATCTTTAGACCCCATCTACTCGGACCCCATCTAAGAGGCCTCTATTCTGGGCAAGCCTCGTTTTGGTTTGGCCTCAGGTCTTGCCTCGCTGGGCTCGTTTCACCCGCCGCTGCCCACGTAGTCTACAGACCTTGTGCTACGTTTCTCGCATGGGCCCATGGACCTTATGGCGTCCCCATGCGTTCCTCCATCGCACGCTGTGGCACGTTCCGCTGTGGTGTCATGCAGTGCATGCCGGTGGGGTCATCGTTTGCCGAGGAGAATACATGGAGGGTTGTTTTGAGAGCTTTCCGGGGCCTGCTGGGCGTTTCTGGGGGCCTCTTGGGTTCTTTTCGGCGGTCTGACGGGCCTTCCTGGCACTAGAAGGCTCGTGGGGCCAGTTCGTGTTCCCCCCTCCGTGGCCAGAAACATTGGACACATGCAAGCTTCTGCAATCATTCGTTTCTTTGGGAACTTCGTGCGACGATCCTCAAAAGCGCCCAGGAGCGCCCGGAAGCGCGAGGAACTCCGGGTTCTGGGCCCGTATGTGAAGCACTGAGAACTCGAAGGGACTTGATGACACTCCCCTCAGTACCTACGCCATGGTAGTGGATCTTGCCGCGAGGCCATTCTTTGAGCTATTGTCGACCGAGCGCATGTGGTTCGGACGGGTCGCTGACGCGTTCTCATCTGAATTTCTGTCGTCAGTGGACGGCAAGAGGCTCCGAGAGGCCCCCCACGCGGCTAAATAAGAAGTTTCAAACGGGCCCTCAGAGGTATCCAAGACAGCCTCGCCTGGAGATAGCTCCACGACTTCACAGCGCGGGTCTGGTTGCGGTGCGGACCTCGGTGCGTTGGATTTGGCATGTGCTATGCTTGGTGATCTTGTCTATACTGCAGTGTCCCAGATGCAGCTGGACGAGCCACTACGTGGTTCTTCTTTCAGTCTCAACAGCCCCGTCTTGAGATAGAGTGCGAGAGAGAGAGAGATAGAGAGAGAGAGAGATAAGGCATATAGAGAGACAGGGAGACATATAGAGAAAGAGAGATAAACAAAGAAATGATAAGACAAGCGAGGGAGAGAGAGAGAGAGAGATAGAGAGAGCGGTTTATTTACATACACATACGGAGAGAGGGAGGGAGAGAGAAGAGAGATAGAGAGAGCGGGCGATTAACGAGAGAGAGAGAGAGACAGAGAGACAGGGATATATATATATATATATATATATGTATGTACATATACACAGAGAGAGAGAGAGAGACAGACAGACAGACAGACAGACAGACAGACAGACAGACAGGGAGAGACGAGGAGGCAGGGCGGCAGGGGGAGGGAGAGAAAGAGAGAGAGAGAGAGAGAGCGCTCGTCGAAGCCAGCCAGGCACGAGGTGCTGCTGGTGCTGTCGGGCGCCTCCCCGAACGACTCCGTGGGCTGGAGCACCAGCGGCGGCCTCTCGCCTCTCCTGCCCGCTCAGGTCCCCCTTCCGTGGGGGAAAGACTGCGGTGGCCTCGCTGTAAGGCCTCGGATGGGGCACAGACAGCCAGCCCCCCCCCCCCAGGTAGCCTCAGGTCGGGCCTGTCCCTCTACTTTCGGGGGAGCGTAAGACCCGGGTTTGCCGGGACTCGGGTTCGCCATCGTTTTTTGACGACCGCGACTCGGATTTTGACGAGGAGGAGTTTCGTGGGATGTCTGCAGCGGGAGGCCTCGTCAAAATGCAGGCTCGGCCTCGTCATTTTTTTGACGACCTTGTCGGGGATTTCCGAGTCCCCCGTACCCGGGTCTTACGTCTCCCCGAAGGTAGCCTCAGGTCGGGCCTGTCCCTCTACTTGGGGAATATTCAAAAAAGTAGTGAAACAATATTAGTCTGGGGATTTTTAAAAGAATACAATGTTCGGGCATTTGGTGGGGTAATTCTTTAGTTGCTTTAAGCACAAATTCGTCCGAGATCCCCCTGCAGGGGGCAGGCCCGACTTAAAGGTAGCCCCAGCTGGCCTCCAGAGGCCCCCCGAGCAGTCCCAGATGGCCTCCACTGGCCCCCGACCAGTACAGGGCGCTCCGCATGAAAGGATTTGTGTATCTTGATGCCGATGCGGGCTTCCTGCCCAACCATGGTTGGCCCTGGGCATGGTGGCATTCCGTCTGGGGCCGAGCGCGTGCCGTGTTTTTGATTTGCCCTCCAGTGTCCATGTCGGTCCGATCGGTCCGGTCCCACGTCGACTTTGTCTGGATCGGTCCGGCTCGATTCCGATATTCTGGGGATCCGAGGCGGCCCGATGCTTGCAGTGCGCTGCTTTGCATCCTGGCGCAGCCGCTCCGATTCGATTCCGGCTCCGTGCCGATGCAGCTCGATACGGCGCACGTTCCAAGTCGATCCGATGCCCCGACTCGATTCTGACTCATCCTGCCCTCGAGAGCGCCCTTGACTATAGAGCCCCCCCTCGCCAGCCTGCGGTGAGTGCGCAGAGTCCTGGCCGGCGTGGGCTCCGCAGCTCAAGAGCAGAGAATCGGCGGCGAGCCCCGGGGAGAAGTGAGAAGGGGCTGGCCTCCTCAGAAGGCCTCCTCCCTCCTCCCTCCTCCCCCCTCCTCCTCCTCCCCCTCCTCCTCCTCCCTCCTCCTCCTCCTCCTCCTCCTCCTCCTCCTCCTCCTCCTCCTCCTCCTCCTCCCCCTCCTCCTCCTCCTCCTCCTCCTCCTCCTCCTCCCCTTCCTTTCATTGAACCCTTTCAGTGAGGGCTCTGTGCCGCGCCGAAGGGCGGCGCGGCGTAGCCCGTCAGTCCGACAGCCTCAGGTGGGCGCCGAACTCGTCCTTCTCGACCTTCTTTGCGACGGACGCCCCTCCTTTGCTCGCGAGCTGAAGGGCGCCCGACCTTCTCTTGCCGCGGGACAGCTCGGCTGAGCTGGCGGCCCCCGTATGCTACACGGGGGGCGGGCCGTGCCCCCCTTCGGCCCGAGGGCTGGGGACGGCCTCGCCGCGGCGCACGGTGCGCCGCCTCCTTCTCTTGGCGAGTCCTCCTTTTTGAGGCGCTCGTGCTGGACACCGCTTCAGAGGACCCTGCTCCTGTCCTCCTTTTGGGCGACCTCCATGCGATCACGTCCTTCAGAGCTGTTGAGGACCCTGCTCCTGTCCTCCTTTCAGCTGTCATTGTGGTAGGTTCAGCACGCCGCGCTGCTGAGGACCCTGCTCCTGTCCTCCTTTCAGCGGGCGGGTCGTATCGAGGTGATGGTCGTGGTTGGTGGGGTGGATGTGCTAGGGTGGTTTGTCTTTGCACTGCCACGCAGTTGAGGACCCTGCTCCTGTCCTCCTTTCTGCGGAAATTCATGCCAGAGGTCGATTCTGAGGACCCTGATCCTGTCCTCCTTTTCGACGTCTTCCAGGCATGCTCGTCAAGCCTCGCTGTTGAGGACCCTGCTCCTGTCCTCCTTTCAGCAGGCTCCGTCTTGGTTGCGTCACGCCGCGCTGCTGAGGACCCTGCTCCTGTCCTCCTTTCAGCGGGCAGGTTGTGTCGAGGTGGTGGTAGTTGTTGGCGGGGTGATTGTGGCGGGGTGGGTGGTCGGTCGGGGGTGACCCCAGGCGTTGTGGTTGGCCCCACCTCGTCCCGCTATGGCTAGGGGTCACGGTGCCCTCGGTGGGGGGCGAACCCCAGGCCTGGTGTTTGCTGCTGTTGTCGGTGAGGGATGTCTCGGCTGCCCTCAGCTTCGCCCCTTGGGCGATCGGGTAAGCACCACCTTCGGCATGGGGATGGTGGGGGTGGCGAGCTAGGGCGGACCGCGGGGGCGCGGGTAGTGGCCGTCCTTACCCCCCCCTGCCCCTCACCATCCCCCTTGGTAGGCGCGGGCAGTACTCGTCCTGCCCCCCCACCCTTCGAGCCCGTCTCGAAGTTTGATCCTTGCCTCACCAGGGCAGCGTTGACTTGTGTGTTAGTGTGGTATGCCGTCCTTTGGGTCGTGGGTGGCGAGAGTGGAGGTCGTGTGTCGTGTGGCTTGCTGGTAGCCGCTGAACTCGCGCTCGTGCGTCCGCTGCCTGCGTCTATATTACAACACGTGGCGACTTGTGCCTGGGGTGTTCCCACGCATTCGGGGTTCCCCCAGGACTTGCGTCCTAACGCCTCATGCAAGACTTGGCGACGCTGCCTGAGGTATTCCCACACACTCGGGGCTTCCTCAGGACTTGCGTCCTAAAGCCGTTGTACTTGTAGTCGAATGCGCTCGTCGTGGCGGTCATCCTCGGCAGGAGGCGGCACTTCGTCTTCTCGTTCGATGTAGTACGCTTCGTTGGTGTTCAGGTTCTGGCTGGTGGGCGCAACGGTTGCGGTTCTGAGACCCCATCTGGCCACTATGTTGCCGTCGAGCAGGTCGGCGATGGCAAAGTCGATATCCTCTGCGTTTTCCGTGATCATTATGTTGCGGAGGTCGTCGCGGGTGCCGTTGTCGAGGATTTGTGTGGCGCCGAGGTCGTAGCGTTTCGTCGAGGTCTCGTAGACCGTCGTCTGGTTGGCGATGTGCTGATATTCGGGAGTCTGCCTGCAGGTCGACTCTGCCGAGAAGGCTGCGACAAAGGGGACGTTGGTTGTGGTCGCCGCGAAGAGCATCCGCAGGACCTCTCTTGTGACGTTGTTGGCGGCGAATATCTCGTCGGCGATGGTCTCGGAAACTTGAGGCATTCCCCATGGTGCCTCGGTGGTGCGCCGCCTGCTTGCTCTGCTGCCCAGCACGTCGCTTACGTCGTGTCGGTACCAGGTCCGTCGTGGGAACTCTACGTAGATGGCCGCTGTCTCGCCATGTAGGATCCTTCGTTGTACTCGCCGGAGTTCTGGCATTTGGTCTGAAGTCTGGCCATCGCCGTGGGTTGCGATCTGAATGTAGTCCAGGCCGCTGATGCTCGTGATCCCGCTGTTGGCCATGATCTGCTGGAGGTCGGCGGCCTGTCGAGGGCGGTCGGTGATGAAGACGACCTCTTGGCGCTCGGCTGGTCCTGCAGGCGAGCTCGCGGGTGGGCTGATTCGCGATGGCCCGAGTCTGGCGAATACTTTCGGTACGACGGGCGACGTCTCGTGGAGCGGCAGCGGCGTAACGTCGCACGGGTGGGCTGGCTTGTCGCTGAAGGCTGGGTGTCGTCCTTGCTTCTTGTTGGCGTTTGTGGCCTCGGCGATGGCGGTGAAGTTCTCTGCTATCTGCTGCTCCGTCAGGGGCTCCATCGTCTGGAGGTGCCAGCCGTGCCAGGATTTGCGGCAACGGTGAGCCACCGATAGGTGCTTTATGAGCCTCGGGAGAGAGTGGTGCTCGGTCTGGCAGCATCGGCATGCGGTGCCTGTGGCCCAGAAGCGCGGGTCCTCGTGGTCGGGATGATCCCTGCCCATATGGATTGCCATGCCTTGCCTGGCGGCGACTCGGCCGCAGGCGTAGCAGACGCACTTATGGTTGTTGGTGTCGTCGCGGAGGTCGAACTCTTCAGTTTGGTCTGCTACGGGGATCATCTGGATGTCCTTCTGGGGCTTGGCGCCCTGAGCTTGGTCGCGAAGGTGGTGAATGTAGGCCTTCACCGCTGCCTCGACTGCGTTGGTGAATAGCTTCGGCTTCTGTCGGGCCCAGTTGATGATGTCACGGTCGTGTTGGGTTTGGCTGGGCCGCCTCTCTCGTGGTAGGTACGTTCGCAGGAAGTCAAAGTCTTTCTTGAGCTGGCGGCTCCAGGTGCCCTTTCGTTGGCGCTGGCCGTCGAGGAGCTGCAGTAGGACTGCTGGAGCGTGATTCAGGAGTCTTGGTAAGTACCGTAGTCGTGCTGTCGAGTGGTGAGTGATGAAGTCGGGCACTCCAGTCTGGGCGAATGCCTCGGCTTCGGAGACGCGCCGGTCGGGTGAGTTGGTCTTGGGTAGCGAGGCTGCCGCGCGATATGGGCCCATGTACTTGGCGGATATGTGCTCCAGGTCTTTCATAGCCAGGTCGCTCCAGACGTGGTGGTTGTATGTCAGCGATGAAGGTCGAGAAAGAGTGGACGTACTTCACCTTGGCTTTCTTCGAGAGCTTCTAGCGGCGGAGGATCTGCTTCTCGAGAGGCCGGGCTGCACCGAGCGCGCGGTTGACCCTTAGGCAGATTTCTGGCCCCATGACCCCGCCCGCCGCGATGATGGTACCAAGGGCTTTCTGCTGCATTACTAGCTGCACCTTGATAGAGAGTCCGTCCAGTTCGAAGTATGCGACGCCCTCCTTGGCGATCCGCTGTTTCTCCTTCTTGGCCCCCGCGCCGTAGTGCATGAGGATGGCCTTGGTCTTGTCGGGGCGTGGCTTCAGGCCATGCTGGAACGCCGCTGTGCAGAGACTGGCAGCGGCCAGAGTGGTCGCGTTGATCAAGTCGCTGGCGTTTGCGGTCGAGTTGTAGTCTGTGAGGTCATCGACGAAAGACATGTTCCTGAGCGCGCTTCCTTCGTGAGGGGTCGGCGAGAAGAGTGGGTCGCTGCAGGCGTCGATCTCGTGTCCACCTAT